GAAATATGCTCTAGTTAGACATATCCAAAATTTGCGCGATTTGGTCCACTAAGAAAAAAGTTATGAACGAAAAAGCGTCAAAGCATTTCACCGAAGACTTTTGAGCGCTACTGTATGTAGACCTCTGCCAACTTTTTGTCCTCCTCCAAACCCCCTCCCCCCTCCCCAAGTTATTATGGCGCTATCGTATGGTCCTGATCGTAAGTCATATGCATTTGCCATCTAGAAAAATCACACTAATTCTGGCAATATGGACTCAATTTCATGAAAGTTCAAATCTTATCCCCATTGGCACAGCCTCTTGTAATAAATGAAACAGGGAGAAGGAAAGTTTCGAACTAATCCCGCTGACGGTACAGGTGATCTTCATTCCCTCGTTAAATCAAGAAGAAAAGTTAGCTCTTGAGTCGTATGTCGGAAATGGACTGGAATGATCAAAGACTACATATATTCAAATGTACTCGCCCACCCACAGACTCATTTTTAACTATACAACTATCCTAGACTGGCGCAAAGCGATGCAGCAATCAACAGTTCCAGTCCCATTTTGGGATGGTACGTTTGCACCAATCTTATCTTTATATGTCTTATCTTATCTCCCATCCTTTTCGAATCTTGAATTCTCAGCACCAAAAATCGCTCTTCTTAGCGATTGTATATTCAGTAGAATTCACATATGATAGTGGAACTATGCCAGAATTAAACTCTTACACTGAGCACTTTTGATGCATGTCAGCTTTTTAATCTACTACAATGGGATCATAGAGTGTGAAACCTGATAAGGGCTTGAGAATGTAGTAAAGAGGTACAAGAACAACTATAGAGATATAAGTATAAGCTAAAGATACCATAGCGGCCACAGAGAAAAAAGTGATGCCAGAATTCCCACGATTGACTGCGCAGGATTACTACACCTATGGGTATTCTGATTTAAGTCCATGGAAACAGTGGGAACCAGCTTAATGGGTGGCATTTAGCGGCAGCGGGTGATAGAACCGGGCAAAAGGGCTAATTATGAGAAAGTTCATGAGTATAAAACAATAGAACAAAAGAGTTTGGATTTACTACTGCGATGTGCAATGTTTCTCTGAAGCTCCTTAAAAGATGACGAAGGTTCTACTCTGCAGGAAAACTCCAAAGGCAAAGTGGTGTTGTACCATCCCGAACATGGCCAGAATATGGAATCCGAATTGATTCCCACTCAGGCCAACCAAGTCCTTCGTCTCACCGGGTCGATTGACAGGGACGCCCTGCATGGGTGTTCAAAAAGCTGCAGCTCTCAAATAAAGCCATTTCTAAGCCAATTCTTTACTCTTACGTACTATCGTTTATTTCACTCGTGCATTCGAGCGAAGAAGCTGCTAATCCGGGGGTGGCGTTTTGGAGATCTCAGCGGTTGTGGAGGAAATTCCAAAAAAGCTCTTGGGTGGTCTATTTAGTTTGATTCTGCGCGTCTGAGTAGATTCTCCTCTCAAACGATCGTGCTGTAGGTGTCCTTTTCTGTAACGGTTATTGTTCCCATCTGCTTCCAAAACTTTTCTACCGTACAACTTCCTATATAAAGTAATATTCAAATGAGCAGCATTCCACTGTTGAAAACTCGGAAGGAGCTCATAACAAAGATTTGTAGTGGATTACTGTAGGAAGTGTCAACATCTTTGGATCGACGTAAAAGGAACATGCTTCTATAGCTTTCACACCTCATCGCACTTTACAAGTAGTTACAGTATGACTTTGGTAGGAAACACCATTGAAATGAAACAATTTAAGTTGTTCGATTCCGAGATAATAAAAATATGTATAACATTACCAACTGACTCCATGTAAATTATAGGGCACTCCATACGATTTACTGACAAGATTTTAGTTTACAACCACAAATAGGTATCAGCTCACCGTTCAGTACCATGTGGAGGTACATCCAGCTCTGTATAAACTGAATCCATTAGGAATTGCCTGCAACTAGGAAAACTGAGTTGTTACAGAGAGTTCTTG